AAATTCTGCACACAAAATACTGGCAGACTTATAGGCAGTTTTTGCCAATAATTGCCAACTTTAGACATTTATTTATTTATCTTTTTGCATTGTTGGGGAAAAATCTGAGCGCGTGGCCAGGTCTTATTCTTTGAATTGTTTTAATTTTACGCGAAAAACTGATATATCGCACAAATCGCGAAATGAAACGAGAAAGCGAAGCGAGAAAACTGATATTCAACAACGTCGAGCTAGCAAACAGTTTTATAAATTAAGAAATATGTTTACACTCAAATTAAAATTTAAATGCAAGTTAAATTTTCACTGTTCAAGTTCCTCGAAAGAACAACGAGTCGAGAATAAAAAGTCAAAACGTATTTCTCGCAGCAGAAAAGCTTACCGAGAACTGCCGTAAACAGTCAACCGAAAGCTCTCGCTGTAAATGAGAAGTGATTGTTGAATTGACTGCTGGTGGTGACGTGGCCCACCGTTGACATCGTAACTTCTCGTTAACTTTGCGTGAAGCCGGAGACGATGCCCTTCATCTGCTTTGCAAGTGGAGCCGGCGGAGCCACTTCTAGTTTTAAGCAGCAGCACTAAATGCAAACCCAGCCAGCTTCTTTGACATCCTTCGTTGTTTTTCCAGAGGCTGTAACTTGCAATTGAATCTGGGCTATATAGCGTGACTTGTCGGCTCCGAGATTTTGGGCGGTTGAAAGTCGTCGCGTGCGCTTTGAATATGATTGTTTTACGGCCGCGTGAGTTTATAAATTTGCCATCTAAGGACGCGGTTGAGGCGATGTCAGTTCGTCTGCTTTGCAGTGTATTTCGGCCGAGCGGAATCATTTTATACAAGATATTTGATATTGATTTCTTTACTGGGGTGAGGAAAAAAATTCCCATGGCCAGGAAAATTGTGACTTTTAAGAGATGGCCTACATCCTCAAAATGAATGCTGTGCTGTAATTGTACTTTTTGTTGTATTTGGTGAGGTAATCCTCTCTTTGAAAGCTTTCGTTTTGTCTTCCATATGTGTCACAATTGCGGCTGGAGCTTCTTTGCCTTGAAGCTTTCTCCTCGTTTGCTTCGGAGATTTTCTTGTTCAAGTTATGATTTTGTTGTTTTCTGGTAGTCGCTAGCGTAATCAGCTTTTTCTATCTCTCTGAAAAGTTGTACTTTAGTTCAAAGCAGAGCGAAACTTCATTTCCATTTTGAAAAAGCCTTGTGCTTGTTTTTGGCTTTGTGAAACATGATTAAAAGGTCACTGTTAAGGTTTTTTTGTTGTTTCGGTGCAATATCACGCAAGGCCTCGCTTTCAAGAGTCGCAATTCCACGTTAAATGCCTCACCTGGGTAGCCAATCAGAGTGGGAGAATTTTCTGAGCTCTGCGATTCTTTTGCGATTTTAAAGCGGCGTTTTTGACGCTGTAAACAAACTCGTTACTTTAAGAACAATTCTTTTCTGTGCTATTTCCTTTCAAAAATATTGACAACGTTTTGACCAATTCTTCAAACAAAAACACTGGTTAAATATAAGGTAGCTTTTTCCAACTGCCTGGCAACTTTTGGCTTTTATTTAATTATTTATCTTTTTGCAGTTTTTTAGGAAATTCTGATTGCGTGGCCAGGCTTAATTCTCCGCTTTTCAATTTTCCCACACCATTTCTTCATCTTTTGTCATACACATTAGTTTACTTTGTATACTGCAATCATTTTTTGCGTTAACTGACCATCTTAATATTTTTTGTTTGGTGTAACTGATTTGTTTCTTTTTAGTCCACATCCACAATCGGGGCCCCCTTTTTCATGAACTTTTTATATATCTCTCTACTTTCTAAACCACTCAACAAAACAAATTCTAACCTGCTGGAAATCGATCCTCTTGCATTCCGTTCCAGTTGTCCAAGAGTTTAAGAATGTGGTGCCAGTTTGAGATCCATTAGGTTTCGTTTCAAACGCAAGATAGTTTACCTCAATGGACTTATTTGAACCGTTAGCAAATTCTAGAACACAGACTGTAAATTCACTCGCTTTAACATCTTCTACCCAGACTGCAGCGCCGNTGTTAAGGTTTTTTTGTTGTTTCGGTGCAATATCACGCAAGGCCTCGCTTTCAAGAGTCGCAATTCCACGCTAAGCACCTCGCCTGGGTAACCAATCAGAGTGCGAGATTTCTCTGAGCTCTGCGATTCTTAAGCAGTTTTAAACCGGCGCTTTTGATGCTGTAAACAATCTTTAAGGACAACTCTTTTCAGTGCTATTTCCCTTCTAAAATATTGACAACTTTTTTTACCAATTTTTCAAACAAAAAAACTGGTTAACTGTAAGGAAGATTTTTCCTATTGATTGGCAACTGTTGGCTTTTATTTAATTATTTATCTTTCTGCAATTTTTAGGAAATTCTGAGTGCGTGGCCAGGCCTAATTCTTCGATCTTCAATTTTTACACACCATTTCTTCATCTTTTGTTATACACATAAGATTACTTTGTATAGTGCAATCATTTTTTGGGGCTAACTGACCGTCTTAATGTGTTTTGTGTAACTGATTTGCTTCTTTCTAGTCCACATCCACAATCACGGTTCCCTTTTTCATAAACGCTTTATATATCTCTTTGCCCTCTATCAGTATCACTTAACAAAACAAATTCTAACCTGCTGGAAATCGATCCTCTTGCATTCCGTTCCAGTTGTCCAAGAGTTTAAGGATGTGGTGCCAATTTGAGATCCNTCTGAGCTCTGCGATTCTTAAGCAGTTTTAAACCGGCGCTTTTGATGCTGAAAACAATCTTTAAGGACAAGTCTTTTCAGTGCTATTTCCCTTCTAAAATATTGACAACATTTTTACCAATTTTTCAAACAAAAAACTGCTTAACTATAAGGAAGCTTTTTCCAATTGATTGGCAACTTTTGGCTTTTATTTAATTATTTATCTTTTTGCAATTTTTAGGAAATCCTGAGTGCGTGCCCGGCCTAATTCTTCGATCTTCAATTTTTACACACCATTTCTTCATCTTTTGTTATACACATAAGGTTACTTTGTATACTGCAATCATTTTTAGGGTTAACTGACCATCTTAATATTTTGTGTTTTGTGTAACTGATTTGTTTCTTTCTAGTCCACATCCACAATCAGGGTTCCCTTTTTCATAAACTCTTTATATATCTCTTTGTCCTCTATCAGTACCACTTAACAAAACAAATTCTAACCTGCTGGAAATCGATCCTCTTGCATTCCGTTCCAGTTGTCCAAGAGTTTAAGGATGTGGTGCCAGTTTGAGATCNCATGTGGTTTCGTTTCAAACGCAAGATAGTTTACCTCAATGGACTTATTTGAACCGTTAGCAAATTCTAGAACACAGACAGTAAATTCACTCGCTTTAATATCTTCCACCCAGACTGCAGCGCCGTTCCGAGGGGTTTGGCTCCTCACGGTATGGTCAACTGAGGCGAGAACCGTTACTTGCTGTCCGCCGTAAAATGGCGTTTGGAAGTAGATCTTCTTACAACC